CAGTAACTCAAACTGTGCTCTATTTGCTTCCCACGGTGCCTTCCCATCGAATTCCTGTGGCTTCCCTCGCACTGGATCAGTCCTATTACTGACATTCATATCTGGGATGTGACTTCTAACGAGACTGGATATGTTTGCCTTAGGGTTTAACTGCGGGCTCTCTACGGGGCTTGCCATTGTCTGGGGCTGATTAAGTCGATGGTCAATGTATCCTCCTTGTGTAACACACAACAAATCTTTCTTTAACGTATCTAATTCGCTTTTAAATTTACTGATGTTTTCCATTTGTACTTCTTGCCACTGTTGTTGACTTTCCTGTAGTTGCTGCTGATTTTCCTGCAACTGTTGGAGACTTTCTTCCTGTTTCCTTCTTTGTTCCAGTTGCCACTGCTGTAATCTCTCTTCTTGTTTATTTTCTTTCTTCTCCAACCACTGCTGTAGTCTCTCTTGTTTATTTTGCTGTTCGAGCTTCCACTGTTGCAGGTTTTCTTGCCACTGCTGTTGACTCTCTTCTTGTTTCTTTTCTCGTTCTTCTTGTTTCTTTTCTTTTCCTCCAACAACTGCTGTAATTTCTTTTCTTGTTTCTTTTCTTTTTCCTCCAATAACTGCTGTAATCTCTCTTCTTGTTTATTTTCTTTTTCCTCCAACAACTGCTGTAATTTCTCTTCTTGTTTCTTTTCTTTTTCCTCCAACCACTGCTGTAATTTCTCTTCTCGTTCTTCTTCTTTCTTTTGCTGCTCTTGTATTGCTGCCATCAAGTCTGCTAAGCTGTAGTTTGATTTTCCACCTCTTGTTTCCTTCTTCTTCTTTTTATTTTTATTTTCTATCCAACTTCTGACAACAATTTGTTACTCCTCTGTTCGTTAATTAATTTTCCGTAAAAATTATTTCCGAAGAACTTTAGCGACACAAGTCCTTTCTTAAATAAAACTGGTTTATTCTTTCTGAATACAACTTTGCAATACACTTAATTTCCACAGTCGCGCTATAACAAACGCTATAATTCACAACGAACGTCTCACGTGCTCAACAATACCCTCTCTCCGTCCGCAGTTCAATTACACATTACATTTCATTGTTGCCGTCACGTCTTGACCTTCTTATATATACAAGAGTACCGCATATCTAGTAGGCTCTCAAGCATTCAGGAAGGGACAGGATCCTTCTAGAGGTTCATGACGTGTTACCAGAGTCACGTGACTTTCGCTGTCGTAACAATATAGAGATATATATATATGATTACATGAATATGTTTATTATTGGTATCATTTTAATTTTATCAAAACATACTATTTTTAAGAATAATAGTGATATAAATCGTGTATCAAATTCATAGCTGTAGTTATAAAATACACTAATTTACACAACCTTTTTGTACGCATAAATATATTATATTATTTGCTAATTTTGCAACTATCCCAGTACTCTTATAACTACGGCACTATGGGTTTTTAGTATGACGTCATTTCGAGGAAGCTAAACGGAGAGAACTAGATTTGGTGTTATAGATAAATGTTTTATTTTATTTTTTAATTATCATAGATTTAGTTAGTCATATGACTGTTTTATACTTGTTCAGCTTATAACTACCAAACCGTTCTACCTTGTACCACAGAAAATTCCTGGTAAAGTTTTATTTTCAAATATATCTACCTCTGTCACTGTCGGGGCTTGGCAAACGATGTCACGTACTACTAATACTGATACTACTAGTAGTACTATTAATTAAAGTTACTACTACTGTTAGTACTACAGAGAATGCTAACTGTAATTTTATAATTCAACGTAAAGTTATCAATTCATCATTATCAAAGTATTACGTACTAGTGGCACTCGGATGCAGTATAGTGTATTACTAGTAATAGTACTAGTACTCAGTAGTACTATTAGTGTATAGGGGCACAGGCCTTACTCTTAGTCTTAGCATTTATTTACTGAATTAGCACCAAAACACTAGTAAAAAATTGTAAAAGTCAACGACATGAAACAGTAGTTTTAAAACAGTCTAATTTATTGGAAAAAATTGATATATGTTACATATTTGGGAATATGAAACTGTTGCAGCAGATCAAAGTTCAATAATTATACCAGAGTCATACTAAATATTGTCAAAAACCATCGGGGATTGTCAAAAACTGTCAATGAAAGAGCAAATAGTCCATTGATGCCATGAAATTTGGCTGAAATATTTTTCTTTAAGTTCTTGTGTGTTCTGTATTCATATATAAGTGGTAGTAGGGGGTTTCATTGATTTGTAAACAGTGAAAATAAAAAATGACACCCATGGGTTTCCACAGTCAAAACTTAGTAGATTACATTGCATTTTGAATTATATATTTAATAATTGACAAAAAACAATCATATCTGTAAATTGACTTTTCATGCCATGCAACTGTCCTATTGGAACAATGCTGATAAAATATCTGTGATTGATATAAAGTTATTGATTTCCCTGGTAACCCGAGAAATTGCGTGAAACGTGATAAAATACTTTATATTATATTGATAAATGAAATGAAAACTATCAAAAACCAAATGTTCAAAACCAAGTATGAACTTACATATTTATTTATTAAAGTAAAGGAAAAATTTTGTATTCATGATCAACAGATACATACCTGTTATGTTGTGAAGCAAACTGTTGTTAAGATTATAATCTCCTGCATATGTATATATATATATATATATCTGTTTATGAATCATGTAATATGACTACACAGTTTATTTTATGGCTTGGTTTTTTTCAAATTCAATGACTAAAAAGTATTTATTAGTGGTTTTAAAGTTTTGTTTGTGTTTTAAAATAGAAAATGCTTGTGGATACCAAAAAACTGCCTAGACCAATGTAGAGCACGAAGAGAGCTATTGTTTAATATATCACTGACCCTTACCAATAAAGCAACAATTCACTAACACCCTGGTATTGGTACTAATATTTGCCCAATCGTCTCTGGGAAATGGCAGAGGAAGGTTTAGTGATCATGGTGGTCTTATTATAGCTGATTAAAGCTAGCGGGAGTATGGTTGCCTTGAAATAAATTGTGTAAACTCAGTGTGTACTAGTACAGTAGATATTTTTCATTTGTTGTTTAGACTATAATAATTTAGTATTTTGTTTATGGGAGACTTGTATATTCGCAACTGCAATTTTGCATTGATATACTTCTGTGGCTAGTAGTAGGAATTTATGGTTATCCCAGTTTAAAATTCACAACATTCTAAGTGCTTAAAACTAAAAACATTAAAAATATAATTTTGCTATCTGCCACACAGGTTTTGGTCAAAAAGTCTGTAGAACAAGATTTTTCTTGGGCTTGGATTTATAATAAAGAAGAACAGACATAGTGTATTTTTTAGTAAGTGATAAGATCAAGTTTTCACCTGAGCTGAAGGGAAACTGTAAATAGCTGAAAGGGCTTTTTCTGAACTGGTTAAGGCTTAGTGGATATGCAGTATCAGAAACAACGAATGTTGAGTAGTTTAACATATATGACTTAAGTTTAATATCTGAAAATTGTGTACTCCTGCTGCTGATTTTGCCATATTAATACTCTTTTTGCCATTCAAAATATATGAACATACATTTGTTTGAATTTCAAAAAATGAATAATTATAATATTAATACAAATAAGTTTGCCTAAGAATTATGAAGTGATTGATTAGAAGTTAGATTTTTTTAAACCATGGGTTTGAATAGGTCCACAGCAAATTTTTGGTTATAAAGAACAGAAGTAATGAGTGACTACTTACATTGTTCATTTTTGATGCTGAAATTTTGCTCTTCTCTGCCATGGCTTAATTTTCCTTCATATTGATCAGGGGAGTGTGGAATATAATTAAACACTAAATCTTGTGGGGATAACCAAAGTGAGAGAAAATGGTACTAACAGTAAGGTAGAAATGAAGAAAGACAATTTCAAGAATAACGCTGTAAATGGTAGGATAGAGACATGGGTCTCTATTACTTGTGCATTTATAGTACCATAACAGCTAGATGTGTTGTGAGTTCAAGTTTCACTCGTTACAAATAAATTTATTTCTAGAATATTTTTATGTTGTAGGTAAGGCTTACAAGCCACCAACTCAAAGAAGTTTATGTAAAGAATAAAGACCACAACTAGTGAATTAAAAGAACATAATATATATATATATATATATGTATATATTCATTAACATATATAACACTGCTACATATACATTTGTTTCAAGAATTGGGGTATTGGTTTAATAGTTCTTTCAAAATGCTCATTAAGATTTCTACCACACATCTTATCAGTCACCTCAGTTCTTAACATTTCTATAGACATTATAATGAGATTTTGCAGCTAGATGAGGTAAAAATGTTCATTCCACTTACACAAAGTTTGGACTGTGAAAGTTCTCAATTGGGCATTGGTAGCAACTGGAATTTGACCATTGAACTTTGCATGCTTAAATGCAGCTGAACCACATGGTATTACTCTGGAAGGATTACTCACAGAAACAGTGGATTACCTAGAAGTGAAAACAATAAAAATAATCTTAAGTATTATTTTATCTTGTAGTTTTATTTATTTGAATTTGTTATGAAATAGTTAGATTTAATTTAAAATTTTTTTTTTAAAGGTTAATGATATAAGATACAAGAAAAACATAAATAAGGAAAATTCTGAATTTTTGTCTGTTCTGAAATGAGAGAGTACAGAGGTAGATATGTAAGGAACAAACAGATATGTTAAGAAAAAAAAAGAAATAGAAATTTCACCATCATGATTTTAAGTGCATGTATACATCTCAGGTATTTTTATGTTTTTTAAGACTTCTCTGGGAATTATTAAACAACAAAAGTACATACAATGTAGGCTTATTTTTGTTTTGAGATAATAGTATTAAGTTATAACTTACTAAGATATTAAATATTAGATTAAAAGAAAGAGTTATCATAAGTATTAACTAACTTAGAAAAATGTATTAAGAGCTGTAATAATTCTTTCTATGATTTTTGTAGCGTGTAAGGATTTAATACATTAGTAAATTGTTGAAACTTGCTATGATTAAATGCAATTAGAGATATGGTGTACTAGTAAGTAATATTACCAGTATTTATTAACAGAAGATTTTAGTGTTAGACTAATCTATGGACTGTGAAATAGCTTAATTTTAATTAAATATACAATTATTGGATGGGTAGATTGGTAATAGAGAATATAGTCTTGTCACCTTCAATATGGTTCTGGGTAAGTGGGGCGGAACTTACAGGGTGTGATATGTGCTAGAAGTGGGCTAAGTTTAAAAATTGTAGACTGGATTATAGGCATTCAGGAAGCATGGAAAGACAGTATACTACACTTGCAGAGCTTTCTCACTTGAGGATAAGTTGGAGATAGATTTGAGGAAGATTGCTATTAGAAAGTGATAAAAATAGTTTGTGAGCAGAAACTAAGGAAGCAAGACAGGAACTGAATAGAGTAGGGTAAAATTAGCAATGGGGGAGGATGACAATGGTGGGTTTAAAAGAGTGCAGAGGACTAAGAAATTTAAGGTTATGGAGACAAGTTCAGTTAGTATTCAGGTAGTCTAACAGATTTAAACCATTGGCTGCATGCAGTGAGGAAAGAAAAATAGTTTACATAGAGGGGAACTCCATTAAATATGTGGGCAAATTTATTTGTAGTGGGAAGCATAGAAAGACCAGGACTAGCATTTGCTTGTCCGTTACTAAAATACAGAATATTATAAAGTACATTGACAGTTTTGTTACTGGTACTAAGGGACATTCTCTTTTTGTTGTGCATGTAGGAGCAAATGATGTTGGAAATTGTAAACCAGAAGAACTGCTTAAAAAGTATGAAGAACTCCTTCAGAGGGTTAAGGATGCATGTAGATGTATGGCTCTTTCAGGAGTGCTCCATTGGGCTAGATGTATGAATGAATTATTAAGAGGATCCAAGGCTTAAATGAAAGATTACCAAGGATGTGCTTAAAGCCACAGATTGGTTGGTTGGAACTTTGGAATAGTTTTCAGGGTAAGGGTAAATCATATGCTAAAGATGAGCTCCACTTAAATAGGTTAGGTAGCAGGGTGTTTTGGGAAGCTTTTAAATATGTTCTTTAAAGATAGTTGATAACACGAAGATTTAATTATCGATAGCATGATGAAGTTAATTAATTTGACTTCTTTTAAAAGTATTTACTGCCAATTGTAAATAGATATGAACAATACAGAGAATTTTGTAGGGTATATTTATGCCAAAAAAATCATCATATTGGTTTTATTTTAACCATATTAGCTTAAAATTAGTTTTTTGCAAAATGGTGAATAGTGATTAAGCTCTGTAATATAAGACTGTTTTATCACTATTTGAAAAGCAACTGTATATTTGAGTGAGCATTGCTTACATGTATATCACTCAAACCTGATTTTGTGTACCAGTGGATCGGGCGTGTTCTCGTTATTAATGTGAACAAGCATTCCTGGAAACAGAAGTGATCAAATTATGTAAAAGTGAATAACAGCTGTGTCAAGGACCATGTGTATGGTTGTATTAATGTGATAGGTAAAAAGCATGGTGCTACAAACCATAAGTCCCAGACAGATTGTGTTGATACCAGTATAACAAGTTAAATAATTAAAATAGGTCTATCAGATCTAAAAACATAATAGTAGTATAAATTGTGAAATTACTTGCTGTTATTGTAATATTAGGAGTATCAGGAACAAAAGAGAAGGAATCATGGCTTTATTTGAAGAGGAAGACTATAGTGTAATGGGAATTACTGAAACTTGGCTAGACTTGGATAGTAATAATATGAGTTATTTTAAAATTCCTGGTTATAAGTTACTTAATAGTGTTAGACATGTAAGAGAGAAAGTAAGGTGGCTTTTTATATAATAGATGAACTGCAGCTTGTTAAGATTGAAGACATTAAAAATAGTTAAGAGTAGAGCTGGGTGATTAATCAGTGTAATTGATTAACTATGAGCATCAATTAAATTGATTAATGTCATGAAAATAATTAACTAATTAAAATTAATGTGTCTGATTATTAATGTTTTCAATTATTCTAATTACCCAGTGATTGAATTAATATCATTATGATTTCTCATTATTATTTTCGATTAATTCAAGGTTGTTAAGCTTAATTGAATAAGGCAATGAACCAAAATGATAATCAACTAATCGAAGTTAATGTTTTCAATTATCGTTACTTTCACTTACTTCAGGTATTCGAGCCTCATGTAAGAATAATCATTTAGTTCATTGTAATCAATTAATGAGTTCAACAATTAATTGATTAACAAATTTCAATAATTGCTCTGCTGATGTCAGAAGGTTAAATCCATGTGGTTTATAATTGGGGATTTCTGAGACAATATCCCTCATGTGTCTGCTTGTGAGGTTTGCATACTACTAGCTTTGAGTTAGCTCCCATGTAAAATTTATGTATTTAACGTGAACTGCGCTAGTGCATGATAATATATTGTGATTATAGCCATCCACTAATAGGAGAGAAACACAATCTCCATGTGCAGTAACTCCCTTTAAGCACTTGCTCTTGTAATAACTTCATTCTTTTTCTTGGCATTACCTTGAACTAATGTGTTGAATTTTTTGAGTCTTTGTTCAATTGAGTGAGATTTGCAATCATCAATGAAACTTACATTTTTGTTTTGCTTTTGTTTCACAACCATTGTGTAACATATAGAAATCTCATGTGATGGTGACTTCTCATTTGTCCTGTAATAGTCACTGCATTATGAACATTTTTACTATGGCTTCTGGATACTCATTAACTGTTGAAGTCATTACAGCCATTGTACAGCATGTTGTGGGTTCCCTCATGCATACTGGATCTTCTCTTGGTGCCATTTCTTGTCAGTTTGTGAATGACCAGGAGGACATCAAATTTAATCAACTGTTCTTCCCATCTTCGGTTTGTTTTTGATACCCCCTTACCAGTTGGGGAAAATCCTCAAATTTCCACTCTCTTTCTGGGTGTGATTTCTTAGGTATTTTCCTTTCTTTACCTTTAGCCTGTTTACTTTGGTTCTTCCCATTCTTTACTCTATGAAACCCATTTTTGGGATTATTTTACTTTTTTTTTTTTACTGTTATTAGAGTTCTTGCTTATTCTTTTCCCTAACAACTCCACACTTGTTATCATATGCCTAATCCCTCTCACATTCTTGTCTCTTTTGTCCTGACTTCCAGCCATTCTTCTTTTCCTTTTCTAGATTCCTAGTCTGTGGACTCTCTTTTGCCTGCTTGGAGAGTGGACTTCTTTTTTTTTTCTCACTACTCTCCTAAATTCTCTCCTTCTTCCACCTTTTGTCTGCAGCACTTCATTATGCTTCAGAAGGATTTTCTGGAGAGGTACATCCATGGATGCCTGCAGAAATCTTTCCAGAGGGGACAAAGTAGTGTGAAATTGTGAATGAATAAAGAATTATATTTCTAATTTTCCAGGTGGGGGTAAGTGTCCCCCCCCTACAGTGCCCATGAGTACATTCTATTCTTTTTTACCATTTTAGCCTTTACCACTTCTTCTGCTCTGTCCCTCCTTGATTCCTCTGATATTTGAACTTGTTGGGTCAGTATGCATTCCTAATTAATGTATACCTGCCTTCTTTCATATATGTAATCTTTGTCAGGCTCCTATTCTCCAGCTGGAAGTCTTCAGTGGTGTTTGGGTTTCACCAGAGACCTCAGCTGAAATAGTCAGTCATCAGTTCTTGTTTTTGTCTCTGGTTTCTCATCTTTCTCAACCTCAATCTTTGACTTCTTTTACTCAGCTGGATCAGTCTACCCCTACCCTTCCCATTCCAACTTCCAGGCTTCCCTCTTCTTTCTTTCCTTCCATAACCTGATGTTTGATTCATTGCTTGTCTTGTCGGTTACTATCCTCTTGGGTTGGGCCCTGTGCGTTCCTGCCTGTCTTACTTTGTCTGCCTTTTGGTTTCAGTTTTCTACTGACAGATGTGTTTTTCATGTTTCATCCACATCTCTCTCTTTCTCTATTTCTCTCCCCCCTCTCTATGATCCTATTTATCTTCAGCATCTTGTGGATTCAGTCTGGGACATTTTGACCAAACATGCTATTGTGGAGTAAACCTCCATTTCAGGTTTTTTTTTTACTCTCACCTCATAGTGGTCCTAAAGTATACCTGAGACTTGGATCTGATTATCAATGTATTATTTCTCAACCAGTTTCTGGTCATTTCATGGTTCCAAATTGAGAATTTCTTTCCACGGGTGTTTTTCATCCAACCTGTCTGGGACCACAGTTGCCATGGTTGATGAGAGTTGTTATATACTTCTCTGAAGTTTGATACTCATAGCTCATTCATATTTTGCTGCATTGGGTTTGTCACCTGTCTCATTCTGTTGCTTTTCATTTTTGCCAGTCCTTGGATGAGATCCTCCAGGTGGGCATGTGAACAACTCCCCACATGTTCATTGCTCATTATCTTCATCATCTGGCTATTTTGTCTCCCTCTGGTCTCCATTCTTCAATCAACCCACTGTATTTGAGATGGATAAGTATGTTTCTTTTTCTCTCTCTTTCTGTTTTCCAGGATCCTGCCATGTGGCTGGTATTGCCTCTCTGGGTATGCTTGTTTCCCAAAATCCGCATTGGACCAGGGATAATGGACAGTGCTTAAACCATCTGCCAGTTCCCAATGTCAAGCTAGAATGTTCTGCAAGACCACTAGAAGTTTGATCATGGTATACAAAATTACTAAATTGCCTGATCCAAACAGTACCATTTGATAGAAGGGAAGAGAATGCCCACTTCTTTGGCTCATGTTTGCCGTCTTATAAAAAAATAGAGTTTTGAGGTCACTCATTGCACTGTCTCCAGTAAAAGACCTTTCTGGCAGGTACCTGATAGGGATCTGGGCACTTCTCCAAGTCTTCCCATTATAAATTCCCCCTCCCCTCTTCAAGTGGAGTACAGAACACTCTTGCCACTTTCCAGTTCCTAGCAGCTGGATTGGTGAATCTTGGAGAGTTCCTCCCTGAATGGGCTTAGTACAATATGGTGAGAAGTAGGGTGGTGGTGACACTGTCATTGTAGTGCAGGTCCTCATCAAACAGCTGGTCTCCTACAGCCTGAGTTTGTTTAGTTGAGTCAGTGTGAGCACACCCTATATAGTCTGATTGTTCTCTAACCCCACGACACCTATTAACTCACCAACTGCTTGTGTGCAAGTGCTCAGATGGTTGTGTTCTCATTCTGCCTATCCCTGTATCACTTGGGGCTTATTTGCCTCTCCCCTCTTTATATTCAAGGGAAAGAGTATACACACTGGTCGATATGAGATGTGGTTTCCCATAGTTCTGCCCATATGTAGCCCCTACCATTGGATGTCACACTCCATAGATTTTTCCTTTGGGTGCTTTCTGAAGGGATCTCATCTGTGTTTAATTTTACATTAGCCCCTCCACTAATTCAACATGGGGTTCTAGCTATTCTGTGTGAGAGGTGAGGTATTGTCTTGGAAGTTAAAATTTTCCTAATCTGAAAATGCATTTTTCATAGATACTCACCTCATCACCCATTCCCACATGCCCTCTCCATTTCCTGTGCACTTTCTTCTTGCCTTTCAAGTACAAGTGCTTAAGGTGAGTTACTATGCATTGAGGTTGTGTCACCCTCCTATTGGTGGAGGGCTATTGCATGCATCAGTACAGTTCATGATAAACCTATGAATTTTAGGTTGGAGTTAGGTCAAGGCTAGTGACATGCAAGTCTTATAGGTAGATGTGTGAGGTATATAGTTATTCTGTGGGAGGAGGTGAGTATTGAAAATACATTTTCAGTTTAGGAAAATGTAACTTCAAGAGTAGAAACATTTAAATTGGTAATTATTATAGGCCACCAGTGATCAGACAAAGGCTTATGAGAAATTATATAGTGATCAAGGTTGCTACTAACAAAAACACTGATACAGTAATTATGGTAGATTTTAATTTTAGACATGTTGATTCTGTGGAGACAGATAGCAAGGGAAGGAGGTTTCTTGAAGCATTTCAGGTTAACTATCTTTACCAAATGATCAGAGAGCCATCCCAATGGGAGGGGGCATTTTAGATTTATTGTTAGCTGATAGTGAAGATATGATTGCAAGAGTTGGATTTGGAAAAGAGGGGTCGTAACATAATTAGATTTGATGTTTTGCTACATCTTGAGATAAAAAAAGAAAATTTTAGTTTGTAACATAACAATGTTTTGATCCTTTAAACTAAACTAAAACTATTAATACATAAATTTAAAAAATATTCAAACCAGCCCTTAAGGTTGAATTTAAATTTTAATTTTTCCCAAAGATAGGGAAATGGTCTCTTGTTGTCAGTAGTCTATGTTATTAAAATATTTGTTGTGATGTAAGCTTATATTTTGGTAATGTTGAGCTTATACTTTTGTAATTTTATCATACTAGATCTCCTCCTTAAGCTCTTTTTTTTGAAACAAAATGAAAAAAGTCTTGCATTTCCAACTGTGAAATAGAACCAAAAGAATGTTGACTGCTATTGAAAGTAACTTTGTTTGTGTTTTTGTTAAATATGAATTTCTTATTAATATTGTACTGTAATATCCTGGACTAATTTAAAGTGTAATTTTTCCTGAATATTTGGTATTAAAATGAAAAGTCAAATGTTTGTTTTGCATTACATTTCAATGCTGTTACCTTTGTAATTTATGAAGAATGTTATTAATGATGAGTTTTCTATATTTCAAAATTTTATTTTACATTAGGAGGAAAAAAGTTTTTTTTTATGTTATAAAAATTAGAAAGGAGATAATTTTACAACTGTGATTCCTTGAGACTTTTTTTAAACATAAATACAGCTTACTTGTAAATTGTTGTGACAAGATTAGGCATTTATTAGAATGAAAGGTGATCAATAACAATTTACTGAGTTTTATTGTGAATAGAATTTAAGATATTTTGTTCTCAATTCAGATACTTAATGAATTTGGAAGGACAACTGGGAACAGATCAGATCTATTCTTCAAACATCCAACTATTTTATCTGACACATTAAGTATGCAACTAAAATATGTATTTTCAACATGGATTAATTTTATTTCAGGTGAGTTTTTTTTAATAAAAAAAAATGAGTAAATCAAGTAGTTTCAAAGAGTTCCTCTTGTTCAAAACTTTTATTTTAACCACTGGTACCTAAAAGTGACAATATTCTGAATGTATAAATTGCTAAGTAACATCTTAATGCTTTAATTAGGTAGGTTTGCTGTAAAGTAGTCAGTATAATAAAAGAAAGAAATTTCGGCAGTCTTAACATGTTAAGAATTTGAGATTAAAGAAACTAAGTTACATTGTATAAAAGATGTGATTACAAAGTGGAGTAATCTTCAGAGAAATTTAAATCATTATCAGTCATTGTAATACATAAAACAACAGCTCACATTTTATTCTAACTGCTAGAAGAGAAAAAAAAAATTATGAGTGCCAGATCTAGTTTTAAAGGTAGATGGCCTTGGTAGTTCATAATATAGAGTATAAAACTGGGTTATGTATCTATGTCATATTTTCAGGTTTTAATTAAATATGATAAATTTTTTACCAGTTCTTAATTTGCATGTTTTGCAACTGTCAAATTATTAAGTGATCATTTCATTACAAAACTGAATTTAAATCAATTTCCTTAACAGAATGTTTGCTTTAGCATTTGATGTATAGATGTAAAACTTGAAGGTAATTCTTTTCATTTAGTTTTTCAATAGACATGCTAAGAAAACAGTTTTATGTATAAAAATAACAAATTAATACAATGCACATTGTTTTTATGACTTAAATATCCACTATTAAAAAGAGTATTGTAGTATTTGTAGATGCTTTTATATACTTGAGGGGCATTTGAAATTAGCAAACCAGAGTTTTAAAGTTGATTGCTGGTGTAGTATACATGAATACATATTATGTAGGCCCAGAATTTTTTTTATGATTTTAGAAAATAGCAAACAGAATACATTTCATAACAAAAAATAACCACAAAATTATTTTTCATATAATACCTGTTTTGTAAGAATTAACTATTAATAAATATTATCTGAAGCTACAGCTCTTAATGTCAACAAGAAAATAACATTAGAAAGATAAAATTGTATGTGCATATGACATTTTTATGAATTACAGAAGTTTTAAAATGAATAGAATGTGTAGGTACTTGAAAGACTTGGTGGTATAACAATGCTGAACCATTCTTTTAAATGTATCATTTAAGAGTTTTTATATTTTACATACTCTGTACTAAATATTGGCATTCAGAAATTGGCCTTAATTTGAGTGTCATGTTGTTATGCTTACTTCAGGAAGCTCCTTTTTAGGTTATCAGAAATATAAATGAACATAATACTAGTGTATGTGGATATCTGCTTATCTTATCACTCAGTTACTGATACTCTTCGTTTGTAATTGTAGCTGTCAGTTGTGGAAATATTTTTTCCATTTACTGTATTTGAGGTTGTTATATATATATATATATATGTATATATATTTATGTATATTTTGATAATAAAAAGTGACTCTCATTGTTTATTTACTTATTCTGGTGGAATTTTAATTTCAATCTACATACCTGATGGTTATTCTAGGCTTTTAGTATTGGTCTGACTAAATAGTTTGATATTATATAAACCACAGTTTTTGTTTTTCTTTTATTCTTGTTTACACTCAAGGAAGTCTTTTTATGGTATATTAATTTTCATTTAAAATGTATAAAATAGAAAGTGTTATGAAAAGTACAAGATTTTGTTACATTTTATTTATATTCGTTGCATTAATTACTTCAATATTAATTTTCGAATGTATGTTGATATATTCATCTATAATAATGAAATAATGCAATTTCTACAAATTCAGTTTACTATAGATGGGTGAAAGGCTAATGTAATCATTACTTAATCTTATATTTGTTTGTACTCAAGCTAATATTGACTATAGGCTAATTTGACTCAATTAGTAAGGAAATAGTATTAAGTTTTATATTTTTGTTTATGAGAAACATCATTTTGTTTAGATATACATTTAATATTCAGTTACAGATAAACTGGTTGGTTTCATTTAGCCTGTAATATGGGTTAAAATTGCCCAATTGTAAGTTTAAAAAATTGTATTAATTCATGTTTTGCTATTCAGTGAGAAAAAAAAGTTTATTTTATGCATTTTTAAGCATGAATTGATTGTTACTTGCTTACTCAGCTATTATAACAATTTAAATTTTAAGCCTTCTAGTTTGAAATATTTTTTTTTTTTTACCTTTTATAGTTTATGCATTTAGTCAGTGGAAGATTTCTGAAAGTAGTGGATTAAGTAATTATTCCTATCATGAAGGTAAGTTTTATTCATGAGCAAGTTAGTGTGTACTAAGTTAGAGCTGGGTGATTAACCTAATTAACTGATATAATAGTTACCTGTGAGTATTGATTACATTGACTAGTGTTACATAAAATTATCAATTAATTGAAATTATTATTAATTGATTAATGTCAAAGTAATCAACTAATCAAAATTAGCATTTCATATTATTACTTTTTTCAATTATTTCAACTATCCAAGTTACTAAAATATTGCCAATTTGATTTCTCTTTATTATTTTTAGATTAACTTGTGTGTGTTCAGTTTAATTGTTATAACTTGTGAAAGGAACCAATTAGTTGAGATTAGTGTCTGCGACTATTACTATTTTCAATCATTCAATGATTCTAGCAACTGCAATATTGCCTTTATGATTTTGCACTATTATTTTATATTGATTCAAATTTGTGTAGTTTAAATTACTAGTGTCAGGACTCAAGAAAATAATTCTCTCATTGGAATTGTTGATTATTTCAAATATCCAAGTTTTATTGAAATATTGGCATTATGACTTCTCTTTATTATTGTTTCAATAAGTTTTCTCAGCATTGGGCTTGAATAGTTCACTGATAAGGTGTTGCTAATGATTCAAGGGTCATAGGTTAAAGTCCCATTGCTACCAACTATGCTCACTCTTTCAGCTGTGGGAGAGCTATATTTATTTCTTTGTTTTTAATTTATAGTAAAGTAACTTAGGCTATCTGCCACTGTCCTTAACCCTTTCACTGAATAATTAGATTTCACGGTTAGTCCCCAATCAATGTCATTTCTTCATCAATAAACATTGTAGATTAGCAGTATATTTTGCTATATTATGATATATATTACACACTTACATTGCATATCTAAGTTATGGTAAAAACACAGAGAAAATACAACAATCAGCTGATCTCTCTGTGCATGGGTGGCTTTGGTGCCTTGCATCATCTGCTGACTGGGGCCCCGGCTGAGGGATTGTTTATGTGTTTCCCGCTCATGCTCTCAAATGTCAGTACATCTGGTGTCTGGTGGTCGATTCAAGCTCATGGAGAGTTGTCTCTTTCTGCTCTAGAGGGAAAAATGGTGGCCATGGCGAAAAGTCAATCTTCACTGTCAACGACAATTAATCTTTTGTTGATTATAGTTACTTTCTGTTAATTTTGAATTGCCAAGCAAAGGGAAGGCAATCAGCTGGCAGCAGCGAATTCCAACTATTGGGCTATTCTTTACCAACAAATAAGATGCTTTTGAAGCTTTGCTATAACTGAAACTTGTTAAAATTCAGATGCATTCCATCTAAACTGACATAATATGATAGCAACCACCACTTCCATTGGTTTGATTGCTTACAACAGTATGTATACAACTCATGAATTTGAGGATGTGACTTAGTGGTTGTTGGTTTCATAATTAGCCATAGTAATGCTTACTTTTGTGTTTGCCTTTTTTGGATTAAACATTATTGCAGCTTAAACTTAATGTATTGCTTATTTATTACAAGCTACATATATAATCAGAGTTACTTCAAGTAAGATTGCTTTAGTAAAAAATAGTTACAGAAGGATAATATTCATTTTCCGATAAGGTACTCTTCCCTCCGCTCACAAGATTAGCTTTTCTCGTTTTGTGCTGCCCTCTATATGCAAACGTTTTCAGAAACGCATGCCACAAGCCTTCATCCTCCCTCTGTTGGAATCCAAAGTTCCAACATGTCTCTCATGCAAATAATCATGTGTCACCTCTCCACCAACAGGAGAGCACTATTATCACGTGACGGATGTGACTCCCTCTACGTGCCACTACCAAACTGTCAGTTCTCATTTGGAAACTGTCGAGTTCAGACATTCATTTTAACATTGTTCAGTTACCTTGAAGTGTTTTATTTTTAATTTTTTATATTTTTCTTAACTTTATTTACTACACTTCACAGTTGTGGAGTTAACCTTATCACCCCGGGTATCCT